AATGGAACAAAATAGAGATACTGCTCTTAAAATTATGTGCGATAGCTCATTCGAACCGGAATGACGCCTAGAAAAATGTGCTAAAAGCGTGTATTAGCACATAAAAAATTGCAAAAGTTATAGACCATTAAAGATGAAAAAAAATGGAATTTAGTTTTTTACCAATATTTAATAAACTATTAATATTTAAGAAATTTCAAATAAAGATTCTGAAAGAGGAGGAAATTTCCAATAAAAAACTCTCAGCTCCCGGAACTCTATCTCCATTATTTATAACTTTAATTTAACGCTGAAAATAGGTCTGTGCGTGACATTTTTAGGATTCGCGCGTGGCGTCAAAAGCGACTACGGCACATTAATTAATTTATTTAAGGTATTGAATATTTTTTTTAAATTTGAAAAAATTATGGTGTGTTCTGAACACTATAATTAATTTATTCCCGTTGGAAATTTTACTTAAAGTTAATTTTTCAACAAGTTAAATAATTGTTAACTAACGAAATTTTCTCGAACGACCGTCTTAATTGTAAGTGAAAAAAATGTTTTAATAATGGTCGTAAAAATATTTCGCTTCGTAGAGCCTTTCTTACATACATACTTAACAAGATCGTGCCATAAAAGTTAAAGAAATATTTATACTTTGTTTATAACAATTTTTTTACTTAAACAAAAACTTAAAAATCCAAGTAATGTTGTTAAAAAAATTTTTTTTTCTAAATCATCATATTATCGTTTTTATATTAATACAAGATATTTATTGATTTGCAAAAAAAAATTTCCCGCCATTTGTTGATAATTTTTTTTAAACAAATTGATTAAATCAATTGTTTTAAAAAAAAATTTCACAACTTTATTACATTACAAATATTATGATTGTTTAAAAAAAAAATTTCCTTAATAACATATTTTAATTGTTTATAATCGTTTTTTTTATATTTCTATTGTTTAAATAATTAGTTAAGAAATTTTTTTTTTCTAAAAATCATAATTGACAGTCCTCTATAAAGTAACAAAAAATTTTTTTTTAATCAACAATTCTATTGTTTATTAACTTACCAATTTGTTATAAACAAATGTTCAACTTTTTTATATTTTTTTCTAAAACTTCTAAAATTAACAAAAACAACCATATATAACAAAATATAGAAAAACATTTTTTTAAATTTTTTGATTATCATGAATATTACTTTTATTAAAAAATTTTTTTTTTTTTTTTATAGACTTTGTTATATATGTTTGTTTTTGTTAATTTTAGAAGTTTTAGAAAAAAATATAAAAAGTTGAACATTTGTTTATAACAAATTGGTAAGTTAATAAACAATAGAATTGTTGATTAAAAAAAAATTTTTTTGTTACTTTATAGAGGACTGTCAATTATGATTTTTAGAAAAAAAAATTTCTTAACTAATTATTTAAACAATAGAAATATAAAAAAACGATTATAAACAATTAAAATATGTTATTAAGGAAATTTTTTTTTAAACAATCATAATATTTGTAATGTAATAAAGTTGTGAAAATTTTTTTTAAAACAATTGATTTAATCAATTTGTTTAAAAAAAATTATCAACAAATGGCGGGAAATTTTTTTTTGCAAATCAATAAATATCTTGTATTAATATAAAAACGATAATATGATGATTTAGAAAAAAAAAATTTTTTTAACAACATTACTTGGATTTTTAAGTTTTTGTTTAAGTAAAAAAATTGTTATAAACAAAGTATAAATATTTCTTTAACTTTTATGGCACGATCTTGTTAAGTATGTATGTAAGAAAGGCTCTACGAAGCGAAATATTTTTACGACCATTATTAAAACATTTTTTTCACTTACAATTAAGACGGTCGTTCGAGAAAATTTCGTTAGTTAACAATTATTTAACTTGTTGAAAAATTAACTTTAAGTAAAATTTCCAACGGGAATAAATTAATTATAGTGTTCAGAACACACCATAATTTTTTCAAATTTAAAAAAAATATTCAATACCTTAAATAAATTAATTAATGTGCCGTAGTCGCTTTTGACGCCACGCGCGAATCCTAAAAATGTCACGCACAGACCTATTTTCAGCGTTAAATTAAAGTTATAAATAATGGAGATAGAGTTCCGGGAGCTGAGAGTTTTTTATTGGAAATTTCCTCCTCTTTCAGAATCTTTATTTGAAATTTCTTAAATATTAATAGTTTATTAAATATTGGTAAAAAACTAAATTCCATTTTTTTTCATCTTTAATGGTCTATAACTTTTGCAATTTTTTATGTGCTAATACACGCTTTTAGCACATTTTTCTAGGCGTCATTCCGGTTCGAATGAGCTATCGCACATAATTTTAAGAGCAGTATCTCTATTTTGTTCCATTTTCAACTTGTCTACTAATTTAGGAGTGCAGTGACCTCAACTACCGCTACGGTTCTTTTTCCGCAGAATCTAAAATAGTTAAAAAAAATCTTATGATGTGATCAATAGTGGTAAGCAATAGTGATACGTTCTAAATTCTTATTTTTAAATTCAAATGTTGTAAAACCTTTTCGCTCTTATTAAAGTTGGAATAAATATTGTGCATAAGACAACACACGATACGATTACTATGTTTTTTTGTAACTATCTTAACAAACTATGTATCTTAAAAGAAAAGTGTTTATAATAAAGCCGTTGGAGTAGAGTAAGTTCACGATTTCAACAAGACATAAAGCATAAAATAATGTCAATATACAATAGTTTTTCTTTGTTTATATAGAATATATTTCAAACCTATCGCCTATCTTTAAATACGCCTCGGCCTTACCCGAGTGCGTCACAGTTGGTCTATGAACAAAAATAATCGGGTCTGTTAGTAATTAATGAGAATAGCTCGCTTATATTTTCTCTTCTTCCCCTGTTATTGACGTGTCTTGTTTAATAAATACATTTAAAACATGTCTGAAACAATAATATTGATGTTTGCGTTTTCACCCACGCGACAGTAAGAATTCAAACAATTGCTAGTTTAACTTCCAGAATTCAAACTAAAACAATGGCGATTTTACTATTTATACTATTATTATTAAGAGGTAATGTTTGCGAGGTTGTATTGAGGAATCTCTGGATCTAGCGAAATTCCTTTTACCAATAGAAAGCCACTAACTTCTATTGGTAAAGGGAAAAATTTAAAAGACTTTTTGTTAGTCGTTTTTGCAAAGTAATTCGGGTAAAAAATGGTTGAACGAATCATTTCTTACGAACGCTGTCTTAACGATGAGAGATGTATGATTGAATTCGTAAAAGTTGTAGATCTTGATAATGCCTACAAAATGTCAGCAATAGAACATGTTTTCCGCCGTGTCTATCTATCTGTTCACGGTAAACTTAAAAACTACTGCGGTTTTCATCAATATCTAGACTGATTCATGAGAAAGGTTTAGGTATATATTCTTTCACGGTTTCCGTTAGAAGCCTGAGTGGGTCAGTATGACTTACATAAGTATTAATAGACAATTTCCTTATAAAAAGAAATCATATCTTTAGGAATAGGAATCATATCGTATCTAGAAGGATCTTATAGATTTTTTTTATATATTCATCGCTCCTGTAGACTAGGTTAGGATTTCCCGAGTACATAATTCGTAGATCCTAGATTTGTTCACGGAAAAACAATAACATATACGGTCAACTCGAAGTCAGAGAAGACGACGCTATGAAGGAGTGAGGCTTTCTAACGCTATATTATCATATTTTATTTCTAGTTATATTGACTTTTAAGTATAGGTACAAAATATATGTACAGTGGAATCTCTATAACTCGAACTTCGTTAAGTCGAAATCCTCAGTAAGTCGAAAAAAAATTGCCATTCGCTTCCACTGAACCCTTAAATACGCGGTATCTCGAATTATTTAGACTTTGTAACTCGAACAAAATGTTACTTCTCTACGAAGTATTAATAATACATATTTATACTCTATAAATCGAATTTCAAAACGGAGACTCCGTAAGTGTTAACTGGAATTCCCCGAAATAATAGCAATAAAATACAAAATGAATGTTCGGGTTCGGGGCTCCTAATCTATTGCTTTTGTCTTGTACACGTGCAATGAATGAATACATTCATCATCATCATAATTTTAGTGTACAGTTACCATCATTATTATTTAACTCGTTTTAATATGTAAAAAATGTATAATACAAAACTTAAGTTGAATGAACGCCTCTGTAAGTTGAAATTTCAACAGTTTAATCATATTATCTCGAAATTTTGATAAGACGAAACTCGCAAACTCGATTTTTTTGCATTTCCCTGAGTTTCGTAATCGTTTTTCCTCCTTCTGTAAAAATTGTTTAGCTGTTTTAGATGATTGTATTATTAGATTTATGAATAAATATTTTTCAAATCACCTATGAGAGTAATAACAGCGTTCATTGAACAATAACACTATGACGGCTTCATTGTTTCTCGAGAGATGTATCTCAGTTGTAACAAACACTTGTGGGCGATATATTGTGCGATCTATAAATGTAAATTCTTATATCTATTCTTATATAAAGTTGAGGAGTTGAACGCGCCTCAGAAACTACAGGTTTGAATTAAATAAATATATTTACATTACTCCATGATCAGTAGGTTTTTCTGATATTAACGCGGGCGAAACGGCCATGGTTATTTGTAATGTCAATGTGTTAGACGTAAAATTATTTGTGTTCTATTCAGGTTGACATTAAATAGAACAAATAAAACACTATTCTTATATATTGGGTGTCAACGGGATAGTTTTCTGTACGAAACGTTTTTGATATTCTTAACATTGTTATTTAAAAAAAATTACAATATGATAGGAAATATCATTAAGCGCGCAAATCTCGGATACCCGCTGATAATTTTTTAGACGGTTGATCCACATTTATATGCCCCATACCCCATTAACAGAGCGAATGAATATTATAATAAAATTAATTAATTGTTTCAGGTATTTCGCATACCCGTCAAGTGGTGACAGTTTAGTGATAAAGTGAAATAAATCAGTGTACATGAGTGAAAAAGTGATTTTAAGTGAGAAAATGACGAACATTACGCCGGAGACCAGAATCATGATGATGCGGTCTGATGACAGCCGACAGGGTTATAGAAGACAGGTAAGATATATATATGAAAACTTAAAATTTATATACAATATGTGTCTGTAAATAATTGATATTTATATTTCTTTCAATAAAACAAAAATTACCTACTATAAAAATTTGGTCCCTATGCCAGTGGCTGTATTTCTTCGTTATATTGTCATAGGTTATATTTAAAAAAATAACAAGAAATTTTTGACAACTACAACAACTAGTCCATTCAATAAAAGTTACAATTAATAAAGCCACTAAATTCATCAAATTGACAATATTAAAAATAACAAATATAAAACACGTACAAAAAATCATATATTTTATTTTAATTCATCTTTAGTCATTATTTTCGTCTTTCTATTCTCGGAAGCCTTACAAAGTTCTATTCTATTGAAAATTTTCCAGAAACACTTGTTCAAATCATGTGAATTTTCTTCTTATGATGTATCTTTTTACTTATTAATTCTCAACAGGACAGTGTAACATTAATTAACAATATTATGCAATTGCATTCAATTATTTTTTTACTACAACATATTATCACGTATCACCTTCTGTGTGTTCAGTAGCAAAAAATATTTAAGGCAGTAATTATTATTATATAGATTATTTATTATACAATTTAGCGACACAATATTAAGTGACATGCGACATAAGTGCTACATCAGGTATCATATCAAAACAAATGCCGTCCTTCCTAAAACATAGCTTGTGAAAATTCAACTTTATGTCGTTAATACAAGGTTTAATTTTAAATATATTTAGATGTCCAAATCTGAGTCAGTGTGCCGTACATTGACCCCTTCCAAATGTTCTCTTCAATCTAGCAATGCTTTTAGATAATGTCACTAGTGATGTTAGTTCTACGTCGATGATTTATCGCTTTAAAAGATGAAAATAGATTAACCTACATTATTATATCATATGAACGGGATGTTTTGTGTGGCCGATATTTGTATCGTACACTTATTAGTTTAGTGAAGTGTAGTAGAAGTCCGTTTAAATCTGTGTGTATGTAAAAAAAAAGTTCAATATTATTAAAATTTTAACATCTAACAGCTCTCAACACATCTGCCCATATTCTAGCTGTCTGATTGCAAGATAAAGACAATTTTTTTTAATTGTATACGTTTTATGTATTTAATTACCTACTCCTACTGGTTAGTTTAGAGGTCCAAAGTATGAATCCTCTCGCTTATTATAATAGGTTTGTAGAATGAAATAAATTAATAAACTGAAGAAATAGTGGTTGATGGGTATGACATGACGTACACCTTTTTGTATAAAAATTATGTTCATAATTTACTGTCAACTAATGACGTACCTAATATGTGTATTTAACAACGTGGCATTTCAGTTAATTTATTAACGTACTATTTTATTATCTGTTCAATATTAAATTACATATTTAACGATGATAAGCAATATCATATTTTAAGTGATTGTTTTGGCTCATCATTCATGACTCACTAACCTAATCTACTTACGGAAAGTCCTATGACATTGTTAAAAAGCATTTCTGTAAAAACTCAAATTTAAAACCTACGAAAATGAATAATTAATGATAAATAAGATAAATGATATATTAGATATTCGTTACATTTAATGTAATTAAAAATATCGATAACTTTACATATCCAATCACTATTAGTAAAACGTTGCGCTCGTAACATTGATCGATTTTGAACAGTCGCGTGCTGGTACAGCACTGTACAGAGTGATGTTACCAAACCCTATATTACTGCTTAGGTATTAATCAGTTTTAGTAATGATTGGAAAATAGTATGAACTTTACCAAATATAAAATTCATTACACACACCTTATTTAGATTATATTTCACTATGGTTGGCTGTTCACGGCTATTTCTATGTTATTATTTTCCATTGTAATCTTTATATAGGCCTTGTTACCCTTAAAAACTTCTACAATATTTAAAGGTCATTATTATGAATCTAAAAATCTTCGAAACGTATCTAGCCACTCTGCTATGTGTAATACGCAAAAATAAAAAATAAAACGATGAGGTTACTTGTCACCTTTTGTGATTGAAGTAAACTTTAGTGTACATGACTTTTATTTATATTTCCATACTTCTGTGTCTTTGTTCATGTTTGGTTTGTTTGATTTTTGATTAGCGTCTTTGTCTGTCTACAGGTGTTAGCAGCTCTGGCGGTATCCCTCGGACCATTTGCAGCTGGTCTCAGCAAGGGCTACATGTCTCCAGCAATCGCCAGTATGCAAGAGTCAAGGCTAAATGGATCCTTCACCGTCACAGATCAGCAGGCCAGTTGGATCGCGAGTTTGAGCTTATTGGGTAAGTTTTATCTTAATGAGCAGCGTTGGCCTTGTGGCGTGCAACTCTCATCCCTGAGGTTGTAGGTTCGATTCCCGGCACCTATGGACTGTCTGAAGTGCGCATTTTAAGTAGCATGCTTTAGACCCACAAAGGCGACGGCGTTTGTCACAGTAGGCTGATCACCTACTTCCCTATTAGAATAGCAAAAGATCACGAAATAGATACAGAAATGTAAGGTCCATATATAGAAGTAGCGCCACTGTTTTCTTTGATGTTATGCAATTAATACGGCTTTAGTCTTCTACTACTAAAGACTAACAGAAACATTTGTTACTTAGACCAGTATCTAAACTATACGAATTCCTTAAATATTAATATAGGATCGTATCGCTTTTCTTTCTAATACACCCACAGAGCCCCTAAATATTTCCATCTAAAAATGTATACATATTACCGATTATATTATTTAGTATAGCCGACATTATACTGCCTAAAACATATAAGCCATGCCGAGTAATACGTTCGTAGGTTTTGAGTAATGAATTTATTATAGTAATTAATTAAAAATATGTATTATATTAATGCATAAGGTACTAAAGGTAATGTATACGAAAAGGTACTTAAATATTCTTTTCCTTATTCTCAATTATAATCTGATAGGCGAATAATGAGTGTCTTTAAATGCGGATTTATAACTCATCGGCCATGGATAAAACATGTTCAGTATAACAACAGGTTCGAACCCCGGTTGGATTAAAGTGTAAATTGCGAACAAGATTAAAGCTATAAACGTTAGAATTATATCGCCATTCGTGATTTATAGTATCGCTCGAATTGCCTTTTGTTATAAACAATACACTTTACGATGTGTATTGTGGTAAAATGTTGATTGTTACTTGTTTCGTTACACACATGTGCATCCAGATATTCTTTCATTTTACTAAAAGAGAATTCATATCACGGTGTATTGTAAGACTATATGTTTTGATTTTCTCGGCCTACACCCTCTGTCTTCTTTGCCGATGAGTAGAGATGCCTACAAATTCAAATTTAATGACGTGGAATAAGTGATACATGTATCTTATGTTCCATAATAAACATATTTTATTTTTATTTTTTATTTTATTTTAAAACTATATCATCGTCGCAAATATGCGATGTAAGCTATATCAAATTTCCTTATAAGTATATATTGGTGAGATTTTACCGTTAGTTAATTGGAAAAATTTCTTATCACTGATTTTTAATGCTGTTACAAATCTTAATCGCCTTGGATATGGATGGATTGGAGAGAAGCGACGACCACTTAATTTCTGATGATAAACTTTAATTTTACTTTTCTAACTAATAATAATATAAATAATTCATGATAATTTCTTCCCACTTTATTTAAAATTAGACCGACTCCAAGGTTTAAAACCTGAAAGGATTAGTAACCCTGGCCTGGATTCGGGAAGGCTTCGTTTCCCGAGAAAACTGACCTGTCATAGCTTAAAGGCGATATTTACCACACGTAGAAACATTTCTATAACATGTGAAGGACGCACACAATAGTACTAATTAGCATAGTAATATTAAACTTTTCTCCAAGGCTGAGCAAGAAAAGACGATTATACGTGTTAAAACAAAAGATTACATGAATTGTTGCACATTAAACGGCGACTGCACACGATGAAAGAAGCAGTAAAAGCCTAGCTAACTATTGTAAGCACTAAACTGGTTGTTGCAAACAATGCAACTGTAGAATACCTAAGTATTTCTGGAACTAGGTACTGGTAAATACTAGTATTACGCGGAAAGTTTTTTTTTCGTATTTTCCAAGAGTAATTGTAGTTAAAACCAGATAAAACAGTAGGAATAGTTTTGTCATTTTCAATTTGATTACATAATTGTTAATTCTGTAGTATCTGTGCATTTTGACTGTGTATTCGCGTATTAGTTATTAATGAAGACAACACAGCAAAATTATTCGAATTTTACATTGTTATCCAGTTACCGATATCGAGCCCTCTGACATTGAGATTCCAAGGGCGTCTGCATTACTAAACATCAGATGAGCCTCCTGCCCAGGGCCAGATTTAGAGACTTTGGAATATACTTATGTTCTGTATTAAAAATGATGAAAATAATATCTAAATAAATTAGGAGATATAGTATTAAACCAACAGAACGTACGACTGGTTTACGGATGTTGGGCGAACGTTCGGCATGTTGTCACTGCTAATTACGATTGTTTGTCTGTTTGACAATGCGCCGACTTTGATGTGATGTGCAAATGTTAGTAATGGAGGCTGTATAGACGGGAAGGAGCGCACTTAACATTAAGTGCTGACTTCAAATATCTGCGATACTAGTTTCTGCTGGTAGATTTCAAAACACATATAATAACTTTCAGAAAGATTAACATTACAACCCTTTATAGTTATTTAATTAAATTGGAATGTAATTATGATAGAAAGATATTATAAGTATAGACAATTAGATCTTCTTCTTCTTCATTACTGAAGGTCGTGGCTGTCTTGAAAAGCCCTAAGCGATGTCGACTTGCTCACGACACACAACTCATTTCTCAGCTTGTCTCAGTGCATTAGATGTTAAGATCCATAATTGTCTTAATTTGATCAGACCAACGGGTAGGCGATGGAACCCGAATTCTTCTGCCATCGCTCCTCCCTACCAGCTTGTCGAGACTATTCGGCGGTCTTATGGTGTTTCTGATGTGGATATTTAGTTGGTTGAGAATGGATTTATATTTTAGACAATTAGATAGACATTAACAAAATAAAAACCTTCAAATCAATCTTTATCTTTGCACAAGGAATCAGGTTTTTATTATATTATGACAAGGAGAATATAAATAATATTAAAGCCTTTTTTACTTTTTGGGCGGCAAAATATTTTTTATTATTATTTTAAAATAATAATTTATAATGCCTATAAATATGTACGATGCGTACTATAGCTTTCTCTATATCAAATCATTATTTAGACCAAATGTGGCGTATTATAAACCTATTTCTCAGTCTTGTTTTATGTCCTGTACAAGTAAAAGCATCATAATTTATTCCGTTTACATCGTATCGTGAAATATTATTTTGTAAGCCTAACTGAACCTAATTTCCACAGGAATTAGGTAGCAATTACTTTGTTGTTTATGTTGAAATACATTAAGGAATAGGGATGTGCAGTAAATGATGTCGAACTTTTATGAAAGTTAATAATTATAATACTAGATACAAATAATTTTTGCAGTAACTTTTATGATGTCTGGTTCAATATATAACATACAAAAGCTTAAATATTTACGGCTTTTAAAGGTAGACAGTACAAATCCTAAATAAGTGGAAATTTAGGTTTGCACTTCTTGCAGTTTCCTATAATATTTTTATTATTTTTCATTACTAATGTATATATCAGTTTCCTAATTGTTTTGTACATTGTAAATACATTAATCAATAGTAATATTATTTTACATTTATTTTTTATTTATTATTTTAGTTCGGAAGAAGTGCAGGTCAAAAGTTAGTGAAATAGAAAAATCTTAGTGCTTTTTTTACCAAGGCAATTAAAATTTATTTGATTTAGTTAAAAAATTATTGAAACCTGTATAAACACTTCTTTTCCTGGACATCCCTAATACATTCACGGCATATCGTAAATCGGCAGTTTTACGATAATTTTGCATTTGAAAGGTAAAACTGGCTCTAAAGTGCATTGTTTGTGATCACTCTGTATATGTAAATAACTTAAGGGACATATGCAGTTTGCAATTGCGCAGTGCGTAACTAAGTGGACTTTTTCAAAATCGGCTTTTCATTGAGAAAGTTCAAGGTTAACACAAAACTTTTACATACCCACACACATACAGACATATGTACGACAGCCACACTAATATTTATAAATATTATATTCTACTAGGGTAAGCGGTTCATAACAATTCATTGTTAATACAATACATTTGGTTTTTTATTTATTATAACAGCTACCTAAATAAAATAAATGAAAAAAACTGTTCAATACCATAAAATGTAAACTTAATGATAAATGAACTAATTATAGACACATTTGTATACAGTCATAAAATAAGATTTCTTACAGTGCATTCGTATTTAAAAAAAAAAACATGGCGATTAAAAAGAGTGGCGGAGAGTTTATTGCCAGTTCTTTTCTTCCGTTCTACGCCCTTGATTTGAGAACTGGCACTAAATGTAAAATTAGAAGCATTAATATGTATTTCTTTACTGACAAGTCATAAGTGTACAATGTGTTACCCATATGATTAAATGATTTTTGAATTTTTGAATTTTTTTAAGCGAAAAAATTATCTCCTAAGAAATTTCAAATCCTTGCTTCTCGAAAGTATAGTAAATTCGTATGCTTCAATACCATTATTTCAGTGTCTGACACCTATGCAGACACATTTGATATATCAATACTGGAATCCTATCCTAATGATATATGCTTTCGCTTAGTTCTCACCGACACTGTGGGTACAGTCAAGTCTTGTTCGTTTCTATACAAAAATCTACAATTATGTACTATGGATACTTCTTAGGTTTTCCATATAAAATATGGTAACGTAAAGTAACGATAGCTTCTACGTAATGTCTTTGTTACGTTTACGTTTAAATCTTACAATAATAGCTTCTTTAAGAATTAATATAGAATAGACAAAGAATTGTATTAAACATTTTATTTCATGTAACCAAAATATATTGTCCACTTAAAGGCGGGTCGTTTTCAATGAGTATTTATTTAATAAATAGAAAACAACATTCATCGTTTGTATTCAAAGAAAGATCTTACATTTCTCTTTTTATTAGACTTTTATACGAAACAGAATTATGGACGCACACGTTTTCGTAATTGGAAAATAAATTGTTAGATTTTATTGTTGTATGTACGTACGTTAGCGGTTAGGAGTTCTTAGACGTAGAGTTTGACCGCTTTACCGATAAAAATGCCTCACTAGTGATTTAAACATCTCTCAACTAAACAACACTCAACTATTATTAACTTTTTATTATTGTATTTTTATTATTGTATTTATCTTCAACCGTCCACATTCTTTAACGTAAATGTAATAATTGTCTCAGATCATCATTTTAAAAGAAGGGTAATTTAAAAGTATGTAATCAAAAATAACTCAACAGTACAGCAGCTGACCATAAACATCCGCCATCTTGTCTGACAGTAGATTTGGAGGTTGTTTGAATTTTGAGAGTTGTTTAAACCTCAACGTGGAATTCGGTTTATAGGTAAAACATATTAAAATAGGGGTAAAATTGAGAGGGTAAAGGGGTATGTCAAATATAAATATACATTTCGGGCCTTCAAAATCTCTTATCATTCAATATTTGTCTGTTTTGTTCTATCTAGACAAGAGCCAACCAACAACTTACCAATATTATCCTTTGTATTTATTTTAAATAAATTATATTTCTAAACCTCTCAAAGTAAATATCTAAGATCGCTACGAGTCTTATTCGAACGATTTGAACTGTTTTTGTCACATTGTCAGTATTTTTTTGCGTAGAAGATTTTTTTATACTAATCCGTTTGTATTAAAAAGTTGTTGTTATCACTGCTTATACCATCTATATAAACTAAACCCACTAAAGGCTTCATATAACTAAGATTAATAATTCATTAGAAATTTTGCAAGTCAAACGCCTAGTATTTTGGATATAGGACCCGGAAATATTTAACATTTACTTTGGATATGAACTCGTATATGTGAGCCAAAATATTTGCAAATATCATACCAGTTGAGGTATATATTTACATACAATTTGTTTTTACCTTTTTGTTAAACAAATTTGATTATGAATTTTACTTCAAGTAAGTTTAACATGATAAACGAAAATCATAGTAAATGTTACCATTACTTTATAAAACAAATGCTGCAAAATAAATATTAATATTATCTAAAGTCTAGACATGATGAAGTCCCATGAGCTTCAATGAAACCATACAATATAATTTCAACCTTCCAATTTCATAACAAGTCAAAGAACTTTCTTAAGTATTTACCAAAATACTTATATTTAAGTGATAGCGGTTTCAATATTCATATCTCATAGTGTTTTATATACATAATTATATGAACCAGAACTTGAACGTTAATTGATTTCTTCGTATTGCGCTCACGCATCGCAAATTGTAGCCCACAGCGGCTTGACGCCCGGAATATATGTTAGAGCAATTTTGTGATATTATAACACATAAAACTGTTTATAAGATGATGAAAATGATAGGTTTCAAGCTGATATATTTTTCACAAAATAATCAGTATTTTCTGACTTAGATGTATATCTTATTATTATAGCATAATTTAATATTAGAACATTTAAATAAACATTTATAAATTTACCTGGTTCATTTCTAAGCAATAAGTATTATTCATATTAAGTAATATAATAATATATTAAAATAATCTATACTTAGATTAATGTCTAATTCAGATTATAATAATTATGATTAGTTCGTGTCGAGTTTTAATCAAAGTCATATTAAATAAATAAACTATAGAAATTGGTTCCACCAAATTATTATTTATTTTATTTAAGACTACGTAAAAAATAACATTATTTAAATATAGATGATATTTTATGTTTACAAAAATCCTCGTGAAGTGAAGTAGTTGTCTGTTATTCAAAACAATTGTTCAGTAAATCAATCGCTTCTAATGTTTTGTTTTTGCCGAGTATGCTAAAGGTGAACAGAAGTTACATTAAATATTGCAAGTAAAATGTATATCTCAATTAAATTGAAAATAAATACTGTTATTTGCTAAGTGAAGAGATTATTTTCTCACAAAATTTTAAAGAATTTATAATTAATAAACCAATGCCAACATGTATAAATAAAGTACGTAAATCTATCTTATTACACTATTTTACCTATAGTACCGATCACTATTTTAACGGTTGAGGTTTAATTATTAAATATTATGCAATTCTAAAGGTGAAGGAATTTTAAATACGGTCCAGTACTTTTTGAGTTTTAACATACAAATTATTAGTTTAGATAATATAGGTAAAATTGAAGTAAATTATCCTTAGGTTTGTAATAAATCAACAAAACCCTTCCTTTACCCTTGATGTTATTTAAAATGTTACGAAAATAAAATGCAGCATCCGTCATTATTGGAATTCGTACGGAATTCAGTACTCGATAATAATTTAAGTTATTTCCAACAACTGTCTTTGTTTAACGCCAGAAAAAAGGACACACGATGACTACACAACATTAACCAGACATTTACTTAAATTAATGAACATTTATTTTGATTACAGATTTGTATGTGTATTAACACAGCAGTCTAGTCACACGCTAGATCAGTAACAATTTGCATTGAGCAAGCATATTTGCAGGTGTTTTTTGTAACCAAGAATATTAAAACGATAGAACATGTTATGACAAATATATTATTATACAAACAGCGCCCACATCTTTGCACAGTCGGATTTTTTTAATAGTGTAGAAATAAATAAGTAAATGTTACTCAGGGTTAATGTAGAGGCTTTATAATAATACTAATGGCACTACAACCTATTAGGTCTGGTTATTAGATTTCTGTATCGGCTCCGTGATTATTTTTAATGGCCAGTAGGTGATCAAACTTCTGTGCCTGTCACACACATGAAGAGTTCTAATGGCGACACAATTTCTCTAATTGGTAGAGAAGCTTTTGGGTTTTTTCTCCACAACACTTTTTCTTTACAATTAGTATTGAAAGAACATTCTAACAGTAATTTGATATAGTTTAAAAATACATTCGCAGCGATCAGATTTTGTTCTACGATTATAAAATTGGCGATTTTACCCTAAATCTACGCATTTGCGGGCACTAGCCTCATTAAATCAATGTGATCGTATAGACATTAAAAATAAACCCGGTATTCGCGATACATAAATAGTACGTGGGATGTTTATTTGTGTCTGCTGTCTGCCGGTATGTCCATAAACTACAGAGGCGCCACCTATATTGGGGAATTTGGCGGGATAATGTAAACAAATCGATGTTTAGGTACTTTAAATTTTATATATCAGTAGCTCTGTAATCTGTAATATAACAAAAATCACTTAATTTGATAATTTCATATTCGTACATGCTTTGATTTTATTGTGGTGGCACAACGCTATTGTAAAAATTTGTTATAAAGTTATTCTATGAATATATTCACAAACTCGTTCATCGCTTAAAGCCATAATACACTCACTGTAATATTCGTAATGTCATGATTACATTTTCAAACTCAAATTTTGGGTAATTTTAACTAAAAATAAGGATCTTAAAATGTTTTATTCAAAAGTTCCTAAGTATTTTCCGTTTTGTAAGCAAAACTTATTCAAATTTCGAACAATGAGATCTTGAATCTCAAACACTGTATTGTTAACGTTTACATCTTAAGTGGTGTATATTCTGTTAAGTGTTTCCTAAAAGCGGTTACATTTTATATGAAAGGCTAATTTATAGTAAACATTTTAATATATATGCCGGCCACTTAAATATTGCTAAAACAATTGTAAAAGCTCTTGTATAATGAAGACCAGTCCAGTGGCGCTTCAACCCCGTCTGGTCTGATCATTTTAGATTGCATGTGTTTCATTTAATTATGTTTTTATCGACAAGTAGGTGATCAGCCTTTTGGGCCTTACACATACCAAATTTTTCGTCTAAAAAATGCCCGTTTACTTATATATAACAAGTAATTTGATTTAATTGAAATTTAATTTGTACAATGTTGTTTCAGGCGCTCTCTTTGGTGGTATTCTCGGTGGTATGGCGATGCGTTCGGGAAGGCGAAGGGTTCTGCTAGCAGTGGCCCTACCATACACGCTGGCATGGCTTGCAACAGCGCTGTCGACGAGTGTTGATATGATTTCAGTCACCTCTTTTTGCGGAGGCATGATTGTTTGTTGCATAACTATGATAACACAGGTAAGTTTCATTACATATTTGTGTCTCCAATTTGCTTAGTAAATGTTTCCTCTTATGTATAGAACCAGAGACTCTGAGTGCGTAGTGATGGCAACATTTATTCAAAGAGCAGTGCGCTTCTGTTGTGTATAAGTTGGACAAATAACTCCGCAATTTGAGCGCCTGGTTTTTTTTGTAAAGTATTGTATTAAATTGATAGTCTTCAAAAGCGCGAAAATCATTTATAATACTTATTTTCACAATAACTTATCTTTTAATAAGCATTTTAACGACCTGTATGATATCAAAACGTGTTGGAAATTTTGATCTCTCGAAAGCTTTTACGAACAAGGTTACGTGTAATTGTAAATGCCTTTAATAAGGCGCTCAATAAAATTTACTCTGAGCTTTAAGGAAGAAGTTTAGATCTTATTTATAAAAAAACTGTAACCCTCAATTGATTACTGTTTTTCACAGTATTTTATATACTATAATAATAAGTAATAATTAAAGCATTCAATGACCATAACTGACAAAACAAAGAACGATTACAAATAATAATAAAAACGATTATTATTATTTCTTGAGCAATATTTTTTGTGGTTTTGAGTGTGTGTTCTTGTCTACCTGAATAAAATAAATTATACGCATACATATTTGATTCTTAAATACAGTAATTTCAAAACTCATTGACGCAGTTAACAATGCTGTATGTTATCAATTCGTAAATCATAATATAATAACTAATAATTGCATACGCTACCCTACGGCCATTTATCTTGTACTATAATTAATTTTATTGCACCGATATCTTACTTTGTAATTGTATCTAACAAACTTTGATGTATCATGGCCGACGTTGCAAGACTGACATTACCAATATTTGAGCATTATAAAATAAACCTTATAACAAAATAGTAATAGAAGCATTAGCAGAATATTAAAATATGTTTTCGCATTTTTAAATACCTTGTAACAAAATGTCTAAGTATCTTTGCATCAGTCGTGACAAAGTATATTTTTTTAAAATTATAAAACTTCCCTGACGTATCTATATATTATGGTGCCTGAGATGTCAAATGTGCAATGACAACAGAAGTTACTAGCTCCATCTATTATACAGAACTGACAATTTAAATGGCGTAGTAAATGAATTTTTGTTAAATTATCTTATCAGATTCTTGGTCACGTTATGTATATAATCTTAAATCATTGGCATTACTTATAGGCAAGAATCCTTTATAAGTAAAAAAATTGAGCATTAATGAATGTACCTACTAACTGTATATCTCGGCATAGGCTGTAAAAACACCTCATTCCCATCGATAGGTATATCGCAGAAAAACTACATTATCAACCATATTTGGTGTATGAGTGCGTTTCCACGATAACGCCGTATAATACATGAGAAGATGTAAATTAAATAACTGTTTTGTACATACAGCTTATGTGAAATATAAGGTCATGTAAGAAATGATTAAGACCTAATTATCTATAAGATATATTTTTGTATCACTTTTATCTCCCACATCATATATCCCTTTTTTTATTTACACTAAAAGTACTCCAAACTAATAATATGTCGTTGGGACCTGCAAAATGTATGGTTTAAATGGGACATCTCACATTATTCAGTTTGAAATTAGTCTTCTAACTTTAACTAAATTCATCTTAGTAAAGTAGGTACGATTGTTTTTATAAATATATTGATAATAACCAGTTGTTTTTACCACGAATATCTTTTTAAAACAAACTTTATACGACCGATCTTATAGCGGAGTATATACATTTATACCAATTCCCAGTAAAGTCACACGACTGAAAACTATTATATCAAATATAACATAAACATTAAAGAGATAATAGTTCTGAGAATTATAATTTTGCCGTCAATAAAACGAAATAGGCAATGTCCCCGTAGTTATAAAACTACTTTAAAATATTAACATTTTTTTTATTGGGTAGAGTTGTAATAATTTTTTATAATTTACTTAGAAATTAAAAGTATCCATAAAGCCAGTTTAATCAACAGAGTCTTAACATTGACGCTTTAATGGTATCCTATTAAATTAGGCCCCAATAATGTCATATATAAAAAAACATGTTGATAGTTATTTTCATGAGTTTTATTACAGTGGAATATTTAATATAAGTAAGACTTAATGGATCTGGTACAATTAAGCTGAACCAACGTGACGTGAGATATTAAAATTCAACAGCGATCTGTCACGATTTGTTCCGACTCGGCAATTATCGCACGAATCGTAATTAGAGACGCTTATTATCAATTTGTTATTTGTAAGAATAATTTTAACGTCTCAATTCAGGGATAAATATTTGTCACTTATTATAATGAACGTGACGATAACATTCGTCATTAAGGCAATAAATAAATGTGTACTTAAAGAAATATAATTTTACATAGTTTGATCTATAATATTTATACGATTTAACATCAAATTTATAAGGCTAAAGTCTATGTAATTAATAAAATATCCATAAATGTGATTGAATCATCAAATAAAATATAAGCCGTGTGTGCATCTTATTAATATAAATTTCCTTTGTTCTAGGTGTACGTGACAGAAATAGCTGTACCCGAAATACGTGGCTGCCTGAGCTCGGTACTGAAAATACTAAGCCAAATAGGCATCCTCACATCGTTTTCTCTCGGAGCGTATCTTAACTGGCAACAATTAGCATTGGTAGTTGCCGCCGCACCAATTCTACTCTTCTTGGCCCTCCTGTTTGTTCCTGAAACTCCATCTTCTCTGCTGCTAAGAGGAAAGGAAGAAAAGGCCGCAGAAGCCTTGCAGTGGCTTCGTGGCCCTGATGCTGATATACGTCAGGAATTAGCAACAATCAGAACGAACATTTTAGCAAGCAAGCAGTTCAATGATGGTAGAGCAGGAAAGCTTAAGGTCCTTCTATCTAAAAGACTAACAAGACCAGTTCTCATCACGTGTGGCTTGATGTTCTTTCAGCGGTTTACTGGCGCTCATGTCTTCAACTTCTACGCGGTTCCAATGTTTAAGAAGACGTTCAGAACTATGAGTCCTCACGGTGGAGCAATTGCCATTAGCGTAGTACAATTAGTAGCCTCTTGTGTGTCAGGTATGCTTATCGACAGCGTTGGTAGACTACCATTACTAATGGTCAGTGGCTTTATGATGTCTATTGCTTTGGCTGGTTTCGGATCGTATGCTTACTATGAAGAAGTCTTTAGAAATACACTAAATTTGACACCCGTTGAACCCGGATACGACTGGATTCCCTTGCTATGTGTTGTCACTTTTACCATAGCTTTTTCTCTCGGTATCAGCCCCATATCATCTTTGTTGATTGGGGAACTGTTTCCATTAGAATACAGGAGTACTGGAAGTGCTTTAGCAACGAGCTTTAGTCATTTATGTGGTTTCGTGAATGTGAAAACAGCAGCAGATTTCCAAGACCACATAGGTTTATACGGGTTATTTTGGTTATACGCTGGGATTTCGGTCCTTTGCCTGTTATTTGTGGTTTTGTTCGTTCCGGAAACAAAAGGGCGCGAGATCGATGAAATGGACCCGAAGTATGTAGAATCGTTATGTATTAACCGATAGTATTCGTTTGTAGTATATAAAATAGACTGATAGCACTTGTAAATATAATTTTTCTTCGAACCAGTATTATAGTTAGTTGTCTTCAACATTGAGTCATGTGCCTTATTGAGTTCCTTCCAAATACATCACAGAACATATTGTATTGTTAAATTTATATAAACCTTGGGCTTAAGTCAAAAATATTTAAATACGCTATTAGAACTTAAATAATTTAGGAATGTGAATGAAGTATTTTCCATCTTAGTAAATAATCTTAAAGGCAAGTCTTAACGCGGCTCCATAGACAAAATAGATGTGTGATAGTTTCATAGACTAATTTTATATTTTTATATGTTATGAGCCATAGTAATTAAACTTACATAGTATTTAATTAATATAAAACTTTTATGGTAAGATCTGAATATTAAGTCACAAAACTATAGCAAATAAATAAAAACAGATAAAACTTTTAATCAAACGGCGAGTTTTTGAGTGTTATACACAATTTTTGTATTATGACAATTGCATATGTTTATAACATGTATTTGAAATTATCAAAAACTTCAGAATTTACCCATTATTGTGAATATATATTTTAATTTATATATATCATATTTTAGCCTTTATGGCCATGTAAAAATATTAATGTTTATTGTTATTTTGTGAAAATCACAAACGTATAGCATTTATTTCTACAAATTAATTTAAAACAACACTTAAATGTGTATATAGATTGTAATATGAATTTTTTTACGATTTAAAATAAGATTCTTGTCACAAATATTGTACAAAATCATGTTAAATTAAGTAAACAATGTTTGGCCTATGTACACATCGGGTGCTAAAACGGGTGCCTTAAAAAATTAAGAATTTCTAAAACAATGTTAGTTTTATATATTTTGTACATAGTATATTTATGTAGTGAGAGTGTTGCCATGTTCTGTACAACACATAGTGTATTTTATGTACTTAATGATTTTAAGAGTTTTAATAAAATATCAAGTATTATATTTGCTTTTTTATTTTCAAGTTTTAATCTACCAGTACTTTTTGATTAAGTTCTTGCAAGGCATAAAAAATAAAAATATTATTTCACATGGATGTGCTTATGTTTACACTTAATGAAAAGTCAGTTTAATATTGATAGATAATAACGAATCTGGAGTACGAAACCGTCAATATTGGTAAACTATCCAGAGTAATCAATAATAAAACAAGTATGATTAAACCTTACGTGCCAATTCACTCTGCATTCGGCACTATTACTTACACAAACAATAAAGTAGTATGGAAACCATAACGCCTGCAATTTTTTATTAGCAATATTCAGATCGGAAACATTGCAGATTAACAAGCCCAGGCACTTCAACGTGACTCACTGAACAAACAAGTATTTTGTTATAAATATAGAACAATTAATTAATTGCAGAAGCATGACATGTTAATTTAGCATGATGCAATGCAAGTCCATTAAAGTAATAAATCAGTTTAAGCTCTCGAATAGGGTTGGGTTCAAAGAAACCACTCGAGATGGTAAATTTATATTTCGAGTGCACTTGATGTATGCGCACTATTATCTTAATACGTTTACACAGTGCAGAGACATCGGTTAACTAATAATTAAGAAAAACCTTGGTAGGTATTCGTTCAATAACAAAAAAAAATTTATTAGGTTAGTGCCCTAAGAAAGACTTAGCGCTAAGTCTGACTCACGTACGTCATAAATGTATTAGATTTTGATATATGGGTGAAGCCTGTGCTGTCTCGTTTCTGCAACTCACACTATGTGCCTGATAAAATTTATTATTATTAAGATGACAAATGCGCTCGATGCTTTATGAAACGCCCATTATATATCTCTAGCCAAAATATTCGAGGCTTCGTGAATGAGCTGCCTGCTTGATATATTTCTATATGATAAAGAATTAGGCATTTTTACAATATACTTCTGTACTCCATTAGTTATTGGACTAATAGGATTTTTCTTTAACTTATTGCTGTAAATATATATACCCAAAGCTATATTTTTTAGTGGTCAAGCTAAATTACTTCTACTATGGCATATGGAGGTATAGGTGGGTGAGGTAGGTTTTTTCCTAGTAACGAGTGGAAAGCGACCAATGCCCCGGGCATTCCTACTAACATTTGCCAAGTCATCGAAAGACACGTTCGGTGATATTTACACAAAAAAATTTACAATATTTGCGAACTTTGGTTTGGCAACGAGATAACGTAAAAAAAAAGTTTGTGCGTACAAAGTACAAGTAAAACTTCTTTATAAATGAATTATTGAGTAATTAAGCTTCCCAAATCCCATAATTTAATTTTGCCAGTCTTTCTATATTAATGAATGATACTAAGGCTAATTAAAAACCAAAACTAAAGTTAGTTGTTGTTATGTATTATAGAAATACCAACATTAATATGGTAACAATTACCAAATAATATAACAAATTCATTATTATCATAATCGCTAACATATGTCCACATTTTATAAACAAACCTACCTACTAAAATAAATGGTAATTTATTTACTTGATAAAGTAATATCGATATTGATATGTATTGAAAACACCATCGGTGTTCAAGTATGAATAATTGCACCACAATATACTAGCACATTTTTATAAAAGAAAAAAAACGCTGCACATTTTCGTGACGTTCCGTAAAATTTTTACCCTCATGTGCCTAAAGAAGTTTCACTTCAAAAGTCATATAAATTTTTATTTTAGGTACACAGAAAGAATATACTATCAAATATCATAATTTTGCATATTGTAATGTATAAAAGAAGTGTGCGCGTAAGAAGTTATACTTCTTTGGCATTATTAAAAATAGTTTTTGATTGCATGCAAATAATTAATTACAATTAAATAATCAAAGACTGGAAAAGGAGTCATTAAAGTCAATAAAGTTCAGTTTACATTTGAAAAATTTAATAAATACATAAATTCTATTATTATTCGAATGTTGTTTTTAAATTATGTCCATTGCCGTAGCATCTTCCGTGGGTAACTTCATTCTGTTAATTTTGTGTCACGGTGCGCGCGCATCGTAAAATTTCACTCTCATAAATTTTTCATAACGCGCCTAAAGAAGTATAACTTTAAAAAAAACTGCTGACTTTTTATCTAATACGCAAAGTCATAATGCGTGAATGAATACAAATGTAATCCTTATTTCTATAAATTCGATTTCCTGCAAAAATAAACCATTGTCTCTGATTTATAGGTATAAGTCTGATCTAGACCTAGACATTAACACAGTAAAATTTAAGTAGAATCTCACAGATTTTACTCAAATATCTAAATATATCTTAAGACAAATCTACAAAACAATCAACACGTATAGTGGTCATCAGTCAATCGATTGATCGGTGTTGCACGAGACAGGTATACACAAACAATCAGTGCGAGTGAGATGGAATGAGTCAATTTTCATCGCCGTGAAATGCAAAGGATGCATGTAACGAGGAAATACCGGCTGGGTATTAGCATGTTTCAGGACGAGGCTTTTCTGCTAATGGAGGTATTAGGTACTTTAAAATCTACCTGACGATAGTGGAAAGTAGATTTTTAAGAGTTTTATCGAGCCTGTATTTAGTGAAGATCACTTTATTGCGATACAAGGGGACTACTATATTTATGTATATTGCAACTTATAATACTTTAGTTGCTGTAGGAATGTGAAACAAAAGCCTTAAATAAATAAAATATTTTAATTATAAATAAAAAAAAAAATTACGAAAACGAATTCATAACCCACTTTACTAAACTATATTTATAGAAGTTTAATTTCAATGTTCGTCCGAATCCATTGTATCATTCTAAGTATGGTTTCTGAAAACAAAAAGATTTAAGCTTATTTGATTGCAATAAAGCTATGAATGAGCGTGCCGACGACTATGCCTACGACTACCGGGCGATACAACCTTTTAGGTTTGGGCCTCATAAATACGCTGATAATTTGTTTTGGTAAATTTGCCAAAACACGGCTCCACGGATGGTATTTCGTAGTCTGTCTTGACTGATAAAACTCAGCTGCAGGTATTAATCCGAACAACTCCACTCTCCGTGGTTAATGCGGTATAAAATGCAGAAAGACCCCACATCTCTACGCAACGCCAGGGGATGAAGACACTTGGAAAGGGATTGGTCGTTGACAATTCTAACCTCTCTTCGTTGAGTACGGTCAAATGAAAAGAGCTGGTACTAGTAAGCTCTCGCCCAGACGTGCGAACAGTAGGGTAGGGCGGGGCTAGTTGAGCAATTTTTCACTTGCTTGGATATAGCTCCTCAATGATAAGTCTCAATGAGTTGTTATGTGTCCTGATGGATTAGTAATTTATCCCTTAACAAAAGTGTCCATAGTATTTTTTTGTAACAAGTCCAATATAATAGCTACAGATGTTTAAATGCAGAAAGTCAAGTATGCTCAATGTACCCCATAGGTGGGGTAAGTTGAGCAAGGGTATGGGGCAAGTTGGGCACTAAGAATGTATAGGCCAAACCATGGGTTCTATGTTAACTTGAGATGAAATAAAATATGTGTTAGACAGTCAGCTTTTTGTTTATAGTCTTTTATTGACAGAACAACAAAATTTGAAGAAATTTTCTTTGTATAATTAACCGAAACTAGAATCAACAAAACATGAGCATCCATATCTATCCATTACTTCCGATAATTTCTAAAAAAAGATTACCAAGGCTGGTGGGTTCTGGTTTCTGTATGGATAGCTACGATTTTTTTGTTTTTAAAACATCATCAACCATTCTTTTCCGGAAATCTTTTTTGCAATTCAGCTTGGTGGAATTTCAGCACACTCTTAGGCAAGGCGACGGACGTCTTTTGGAGAAAAATGCCATTTGCAGCAAGAATTTTTTCAACAGTTCTCTTGTGAGAGAGGATATACTTCCCTCGGTGTTGTATAGCCCATAAATGAATTATCACCTTCATTTAATTTATTTAAAAGTCAACCAATTCAGAATTCTTTAGCGGCGGTATTCACACTTTTTCCCTCA